GCAGAATTTCACGAAAGTCTATTATCTGGAGAGGTTGGATTGGCAGATTCTATTGATTTATGAAAAAATTATTTTTAAAATATATTTTTATTAATAAAATAAACAATTATATGAAAAATAGCCAGAAAATTCAGTCAATTCAGTGAGAAAAGTAACTCCAACATGACTTATTTTAATTATTATTACACAACTCTAAGCTCAAAATCAAAAGTTACATGTTTAGTGAAAAAGATGACTGGTAAGGTTGATAAAGCAAAAAACAAGGTCACCAAACGAGTGTTAAAGGGAAAGGTTCTCATGATAACTAACACTCCATATTGTGAGAAGTGAAATTGATCCTAATTAATCACTACTCATAGTAAGGATGTTTTCTTTTGAACTAAAATTTACTGGTCTCCTTTGGTCTGATCTAGTCTGTTTAAGTTTGATCTATTCTGATATGGTCTGAACTGGTTTAGTCCGACAAATGTCTAGTCTATGTATTTTATAATTGTCCAAGTCTAGTATGTATGGTCTGCTATGTTTAAGTCTGGTCTAGTCTATTTAAGTGTGATCTGATCTAATCTGATTTAGTCTGAAACTGACAAAGTCCAAAAGAAAACATCCTAATAGAATGATGTACATTAGTACGGTGCACTTCCCCGCATATAACACATCTTCTACAACCAAATTGTGAAAACGTATACTTTATAAAGGGCACGATTGTCATTACAAAGTAACCCATGATGGGATTTAGTTGAGGCATATATCCACCTTCCAAAAAGTAGCCATATACTACCTCCGTCCCGATGGACTTTGCCAAGTGCAAAATAGGTGAGAAATAAGAATAGTAAAAACTGAGTGATTGATATTTGTGCAGAGGAGAGTGAAATGTGCAGAACCACAAATTAGTTACTTTAATAGGAAAGTGGCAAAGTTTTTTGGGACAACAAAAAAGGTAAAGTTGGCAAAGTCCAATGGGACGGAGGGAGTAATAACTTAAAGTGGAAATTTCCCATACGGTCCACTTTTATATTTTACATATCATTTTTGTTCACCAACATATTACATTTCAAATTTAGACTTTCAACTTTTCAGTTTTCAGTTTTTATTTCAAAAAGGGTCTAATCAAAACCGACTCTACATCGACCTTCATCTCCGGAAAGCTTCTGTCTGGCTTCCCTATTTTCATCGATCTCCTCAACGACTTCTCTTCTCTCAGTGACTTCACTTCAACCGCGACACCGGCTCTCTCTCAATCGGTCTTTCTCCAATCTGCAATTCGATTGTGGAACAGATGCAAGGCTTATTGGCACCTGTTTTGTTCTTCACCATCGCCTGTTCTTCACCGTCACGTGGCTTTGCAATCTTCAACCGTTCCTTATCAACCGTCCGTTGCTCGTCGCCTACCTAGTCCTCAACTGGTGCGACACCTCCCACGGCTCGCCGTGTGCCGCAGCTGGCCAATTCCTGGTAGTGTGCCGTTTTCTTCTTACTCCATTGCTCGACGCTAGAGACTTCAATTCAGGTTAGTTTTCTTCTAATTTCACCTTTATTTTTGTTAATAGATTCTCGATTTCAATCTCTCAACATTAGTTTTTAGTTTTAGCCTTAATTTTTGTTTGCTTATTTTGTATACTGATATGCGTAGTAATAAAGTTGAAGCTAAGAACTGTTTTGTAACGATAAGCGCTCATATCCTTAATTGTAAGGCATTAGACCTGAAATCTGGATATGTGAATGATGATTTCAAAAAAAGGAAGACTATGTTTTAAAGTCAGGCTTTCCATCCGCATTTTGAGATTTTTAACTTGTCATATTTCATTATTTTGTAAAACGTACTCCGTATATACCTAGGACCCTATTGTTTTATCTTTGGTTGTAATTTTGTAAAACGTATATGCCTACTATCTCATTCTGCAGAAGTTTGTTTCTTACATGTTTGAGTATTTCTTAGTGATGTGAATCCTTAAATCAACTCACCTAATCAAATGAGATAATTTCTACTATCTCATTCTGCACAAGTGATAGCTTTTTATTTACATTAGGCAGGAAAATAATTATAGTTGGTTTTAGTGTGAATTTTGGTTGTTCATCTCTAAGTCTAAATCCTCCCCGCTTTTTATAACCTAGGTTTTCAGTAAAGCTTGGACAGACTCTAAGAACCCTTATTGACGCAATTTCGGAGAACCTGATGTTTTTTTTATGTTAAGTTATTTTTATATGTAGTTCTAATATGTTCACCCAGTTTAACCTACATCCAAACAATCTTTTTAATTCAAGAAGGTTGATCCGATGAAACACTAAAATTATTCACTAACTCACCTGTGCACTTGTAGAATTCAGGAACGATTGATGACCAGATAAACATTTTATTGAAACTGCCTTTCTATATGCCGCAGGTAGATATACATGTAATTTAATTATGTGGGTTCATGTGTAGCAGGTGGTTTAACTTGTGAGTTGAAAATACTGGGTGAAGTGTGGATTCTAAGAGTGCTACTTATTTATTGACGGTAATTTACCCAATGTAGCAGAAACATTAATATATGCATCTAACTTCACCCAATTTTACCTAGGTTCTCTCTGAAAGTCCACCAAGTTTACTTTAAGTTTTCTGGAAATCACATGAGTATCATCATAGTATTTTGAGTATTTTCTGATTGTAAGTCTATTGTATGCTCACAAAATCCGTTTCTGATGAAGATCACTTGAAGGAGAGTGATACATTTGCTGTTTCAACACCGAAGAATACACGCTTGAAGGGATATAGTAGAGATCAACATTGTTGTGATTTGCATTTTGTTGGAAGATAGGAGGAAGTTGTGGATTAGAATGGTATAACACACACGAATTTGCTGGGGAGGCTGAAGGAAGATGCCAGTTTGAATGACACAGCTTATACAAATTTGCTGGGGAGTTGGAAGGATGGAGTATATAAGTCTCTCAGGCTGATTTGTGATGTGCCTGTGAATGTAAGCTTTAGTGGGAAATTGATAGATGTTGTACCTCAAACTACTGCTAAGGGATCAACATGTGACACATTAAGCTCACCTGCATCAATGGGTAGCCAGAAAGAAAAGATGTCATGGGTCTCATGGACAAATATGCCTCAAAAGGATGAGCTTGAGGCAGAGGAAAAACCAAGTCAATTGATTCTGTTTGGATGTTAGGTAATGAGAACACTTTAGCTGTGAATGGAACTGCTGAGAAGGTGTCTACTGCCAAAGGTGAAGCTCTCAAGGGAGAGAGGGAACAGATCTGCTTTTATAATGTCAAATGGAAATAGGATTCCATATGTTTGGAAAAGGTTAATGGGAAAGTTGTGAATATTATATTAAATTGAATATTTGTTGTGATACTCAACTATTATTTTTTTGTTGCTTTTTGTTGTACCACATGTATTGCATTTTGTTGCATTCTGTTGTTTTTTGTTGCATATTGTTGCTTTTTGTTGCATTGTGTTTCATATGATTGTTTATTGTTGATTTTGATTTTTATTCTTTATTTAGGTTTCTATTTATTTTTCCACATCTTTAAAATAGAAATATGTGTACAGTTTAATTCTAAATCATTTAGATACAAACACTTAAAATATTAAATTTTGATTTATGAATATGAAAACAAAACTGAAACACAAAGAAACAATAAAAAACATAATTTTCAGAATTATCAACAAAAAGAAACAAAAAAGAAACCATAAGAAACAAAAACTAACAAAAAATGACAATACTAAGAATTGAAATTTTAAGTACTTTAAGAACGATTACATTAGAAAATTCCTACTTCTTACCTTTTTTGAATATGTAATTATTTCTCACGCTCATCATTTTAATTTTCTGAGATTACATTAATTTTGTATTAGAATTTGTATATTATTATATTAGAAAATTCGTATTCTTTATTTTTCAAACTTTTTAATTTTTTCCTAAAGTTAGATTTTTAATATTTTCATTTTTTATTCTCTAATTTATTTTAATATTACACTCTTTTAGGTTACAATAGTTTTCTGATTTTTATATTCCTGTAAAATATTTTTTTTAATTTTATTTTCATTTTTCACATTTTTATTTCTTAGTTCTTATCTTTATACTTTTTTTTATTTTCTGTTTTTATTTTAAATTTATTTTCGGCTTTTATTTTATAAGATTTTCTATGAGTTTTTTAAATTTTATAAATCTATACATTTATATTATTTCTTAGGTTTTTAGTTTTTATATATTTTGGCTTTTTTATAAAAGTACTCTTTTTATTAAAAAAAACTTTAAATTATTTTCATATTTTTAACTAATAGTTTAAGAACATTTTATCTTATTTTACGTATTTTGTCCATAACATTTAGCCATTTAGGTTTTCAGAATTTCAATCTTTCACACACTTTATAGTTTACAATAATGTTCTATTTTAATTTTTTTTTTGCATTATGTATTCTATTTAATTTTACTTGAAACATTAATATCATTTTTTGAATATTTTAAACTTGACGTGTTTATTTGAATTTGAAAGATTATTACTATTTCATATTTTCCAATTTGAAAATTTACTCTTTCTTAAAAAATAAATAGTTTTCATATTTTTAATAGTCTCAGCATTTATTTTAATCTTATTTTACATTTTGATAGTTTTTTTTAAATTTAACTTATAGGTTCAATTGGCATTTTTATTACAACTTTTTTTATTTTATTTAATTTGAGTTTTCTTTAGTTTCTTGTTAGCATAAATAAATGTTACTCACAAATCCATGCCCACGCATGCACACGTAGAAGTCTCCACATAGCTGTATAACTCCATTAGATTAATTATTATACTTTGTTATTATCCACGTGTAAAGTTGTATCATTATCTTGTACGTAGGTTATTAGATTAGATTTCATAAACTGTCCAAGTTCATTGTATAACAAAGCTTAGAGATATTCTAGGAGTTCGGTTGCCCAGAGATAAAACTCTATCAACCAACGATGTAAACCAACGAGCCATATTTATATGGTGCGTACAATGAAATAACACAGACGGTGAATTTCATCATCTTCCAACTTGGTATCAGAGCATTTTTTTCGATCCTCTGCCATGGCTTCTTCTTCCAAAACCTCTTTTCACCCCGCTCTTGCGGTCACCTCCATCAAAAATTTAATTCCCCTCATCCTTGACACCGAAAAAGTCCAGTATTCTTCTTGGGCGGAACTCTTTAAGATTACCGCCCGTGCATACGATGTTTTGGATCACATAATTCCTCCGAAGAAAACACCCACCACCACTTCCGCCGGCAAGGATGATGACACCGATGACGATTCCGACGATGCCGCCGACTCCATCGACCCTCTTCTCTGGGATCGCTTGGACGCCGTTGTCCTCCAATGGATATATGGTACCATCTCCTCAGATCTCTTACTTACAATTCTTGAACCGGACTCTACAGCCATGGCAGCATGGACCCGATTGGCCAACATCTTTCAGGATAATAAGCACGCTCGCGCCGTACATCTTGAAGACGAATTCTCTCATGTCCGTTTGGCCAATTTTGCCTCTATTTCAGCCTACTGCCAGCAGCTCCGCACCATTGCCACCAATCTTGCCAACGTCGGTGCTCCGGTCGAGCATAATCGACTGATTTTGCGACTGGTCAACGGGCTCACTGCACCATTTGCCACGGTTGCTTCCATGATCCAGCAAACGGTCCCTCTTCCGACGTTCGAAAACGCCCGTTCCATGCTTCTCCTGGAAGAAGGCCGGCAAGCACATAGCGTTGAGCATGAGTCACAGTCCGCCTCGGCCCCAACAGCTCTTGTTCACGCCGACAATCCACCACCTCCACAGCCCGATGTTCGTGGTTCTCGTGGTCGCTCCAACCCCCGTGGTGGCCGTGGCCGATCCTCTTCCCGCGGCGGCCGGGGACGTGGTCGCACGGACCCTCAACCTCCTGCCGGTCAGTGGCCTTTTCCACCTCCACCATGGGCTTATTGGATGCCTTCCAACTCTTGGAATACCCCTCCATGTCCGTACCCCACAACTGCATGGCCTGGAGCACCTGGACCGTCTCATGCACGTCCCAATTCTAGTGCTGGAATTTTGGGTCCGCGACCTGCACAAGCTCACTTCACTGCTCCTGCCACCCCGGGTTTTGTTCCTACCGATTTACATAACGCTATGCAAACGATGTCCATAACCCCTCCGGATGATCAATGGTATATGGACACAGGAGCTACTTCGCATATGACGGCAAATCCAGGTTTCTTCACGTCTTTTTCTAAATTAAATACTAACACCAAAATCCTAGTTGGCAATGGTAATACCATTCCTATCACCGGTCTTGGTACAGCCACTCTGCCCTCTCCACAAACCCCCCTTAAGCTCTATAATATTTTACATGCCCCTTCCCTAATCAAAAATTTAATTTCGGTTCGTCAATTTACCATTGATAATAATGTGTCTGTCACTTTTGACCCTCTTGGTTTTTCTGTGAAGGATCTCAGTACGGGCACACAAATCATGAGATGCAATAGCTCAGGCCATTTATATCCAGTTCTTCCCAGTCCATCCCATCGGCAACCATGTGCACTCTTATCAGCTGCAGTTTGGCATAACCGCTTGGGCCACCCTGGGCTCCCTGTGTTTCGCATTCTTAGTCACAATAAAACTATTAATTGTAGTCAGTCAAATAAATTTGTTTGTCATTCATGTGAATTGGGTAAACACACTAAATTACCCTTTTCTAGTTCATCTTCTGTAACCCAAAATCCCTTTGATATAATTCATAGTGATATATGGACATCTCCTGTTCTCAGTTCTTTGCACCATAAATATTACCTTATTTTTGTGGATGATTTTACCAAATTTATTTGGGTATTTCCGTTACACAATAAATCTCAAACATTTACCGTGTTTGCCAAATTTTATGCTTATATTCGTACTCAATTTGAGCGCAATATTAAAGTATTTCAATGTGATAACGGTAAAGAATTTGATAATACCCAATTTCACAATTTTGGTGCCACAAATGGCATTCAATTTCGTTTCTCTTGTCCCTACACATCCCCCCAAAATGGCAAAGCCGAAAGATCCATTCGTACCATAAATAATATCACCCGCACCATTCTCCTACATGCCTCAGTGCCTCCCACTTTCTGGCCTCACGCCGTCAAAATGGCAACCTACCTTTATAATATCCTCCCAAATCAAACTATCTCCTTCCTCTCACCTACCCACAAACTATACCGCCAACAGCCTTCTTACGGTCATATCCGGACATTTGGGTGCTTATGTTTTCCCCACAATGTCTCCCCTACTGCCCATAAACTTCACCCTCGCGCTATACCATGTGTATTTTTGGGTTTTCCAGATCAACACAAAGGCTACCTATGTTTGAATCTCACTACCAAACAAATTATTATTTCTCGTCACGTTACCTTTGATGAGTCAAATTTCCCATTTAAAAACCTTCCCACCACACCTGTCCTGTCATATAATTTTCTGGACGAACCTCACATAACCATTCGGTGCCCACATCTTATCACCGACACCGTCCCACTCACTCCTACTCTATCCTCACATGAACCTACTGCCCAAACATCTCCTCCTTCCCACAATAATACTTCGGCCCCCCACTCCACCAATAATACGTCATCCCCCCACTACTCACATGACCAGTCAACTACACATTCTCCAAATACTGCCTCCAGCAATATTTCATCTCCCATCAACCCACAAAACCAAATTCGTCCCACCCAACATCCCATGCTTACCCGCAGTCGAGCTGGAATTTTCAAACCCAATCCTCTCTACAGTCTGTCCAACGCACTTACTCCGTCTCCTTTACCCCGGTCTCCCATCCAAATTGGAAAGCCGCTATGGATGATGAGTTTAGTGCTTTAATTAAGAATCAGACGTGGGAGTTGGTTCCCCGTCCTCCTAACACTAATATTATCCGTTGCATGTGGTTGTTTAAGCACAAGTACAGGTCTGATGGCACACTTGAACGACATAAGGCCCGCCTTGTTGTCAATGGGAACTCTCAACAAGTTGGGGTTGATTGTGACGAGACTTTTAGTCCCGTGGTCAAACCGGCTACTATCCGTACAGTCCTCAGCATTGCTCTCTCTCATTCCTGGCCACTTCATCAACTTGACGTAAAGAACGCTTTCTTACATGGTCATCTTGATGAGACTGTTTTTATGTATCAACCGCCGGGCTACCGTGACCCTCACCGTCCCTCCCATGTTTGCCGCTTGATTAAATCTCTCTATGGTCTTAAACAGGCCCCCAGAGCATGGTATCAACGGTTTGCTACTTATATTGCTACACTTGGTTTTTTTCACAGCACCTGCGACCACTCTCTCTTCATATACAAACATGGTTCTGACACGGCATATCTTTTATTATATGTTGATGATATCATCTTGACAGCCTCTTCAGATTCCTTCCGCAGCCTCATCATTAGCCGTCTCGCCACCGAATTTGCTATGACTGATCTTGGTCCACTCACATATTTTTTGGGCATCTCAGTTACTAGGCATTCTCATGGCCTTTTCCTCTCCCAAACCAAGTATGCCTCTCAAATTCTCCAACGTGCCGGTATGATTTCTTGCAACTCCGTAACAACCCCCGTTGACACTCAATCAAAATTAAGTGCCTCGGCCGGACCACCAGTCCAAGACCCCACTCTCTACCGCAGTCTTGCTGGAGCACTGCAATACCTCACCTTCACTCGTCCGGATATCTCATACGCTGTTCAGCAACTGTGCCTTTTTATGCATGACCCACGCACGTCTCACTTTGATGCTCTTAAGCGTGTCTTACGCTATATCCAGGGTACATTGCATCTCGGGCTCCACTTGCATTCTTCTCCTGTCAATGATCTCGTTGCATATTCTGATGCTGACTGGGGTGGCTGCCCCGATACCCGCCGTTCCACATCCGGTTATTGCGTATTTTTGGGGGACAACTTACTTTCTTGGTCATCCAAACGACAACCTACTCTCTCACGCTCTAGTGCCGAGGCCGAATACCGTGGGGTTGCCAACGTCGTTGCTGAGCTTTGTTGGCTACGTAATCTGTTACTTGAACTTCATCATCCGCCGGCCAAAGCCTCTATTGTATATTGTGACAACATTAGTACTGTGTACCTTTCTACCAATCCGGTTAAACATCAGCGCACCAAACACATTGAGATGGATATTCACTTTGTTCGTGAAAAGGTCGCTCGTGGGCAGGTCCGGGTTCTTCACGTCCCATCACGTCATCAATATGCTGATATTTTTACTAAAGGGCTACCCCGGATTTTATTTGAAGAGTTTCGTTCCAGTCTCAGCATTCGTGGCCCTCCCGCTTCGACTGCGGGGGCGTGTTAGCATAAATAAATGTTACTCACAAATCCATGCCCACGCATGCACACGTAGAAGTCTCCACATAGCTGTATAACTCCATTAGATTAATTATTATACTTTGTTATTATCCACGTGTAAAGTTGTATCATTATCTTGTACGTAGGTTATTAGATTAGATTTCATAAACTGTCCAAGTTCATTGTATAACAAAGCTTAGAGATATTCTAGGAGTTCGGTTGCCCAGAGATAAAACTCTATCAACCAACGATGTAAACCAACGAGCCATATTTATATGGTGCGTACAATGAAATAACACAGACGGTGAATTTCATCATCTTCCAACTTTTCTCATACTCGTGTTTTTTAAGACTTTAATTATCTTTTCAATGATTTAGTTCATTTGATCATTTTGATGTTTTAATAAATATTTGCGTTTTTATTTTATTTTAAAAAACTAAAAATTAATCATTCCTAGAACTTTTATTACATAGAGAAGTTCATGAAGTTAGGAGTAGAGGCACCCAGCACCCTATACGTAGAGACATGCTCATCAAAAGGGAGCTGCTACACGGAACTTATCTCAGGAGCAGATACGAACTTTGGCCTATTTGTGAAAGAAAAAAGGTAAGTAGTCTATTTTTGATAAAAACTTCCGTCAGCGACAAAAGTGATATATTTTTCACTTTTTAGCTTATTTCTGAAATTTTCCCTAACTTAAACATAACTTAACCCATGATTGGAAACAACAAAAACTGATTTTTGAATATAGAAAATCATTTGACTATCTTCCCGGTTGAATTTTTAGCCGAAATTTGATATGAGTAAACTAGACTTAATAAATAAGATGTTCATAAAAGTTCATCAAAAATACCACCAGGAACCGCCCCAAATGACGACGGCCGGACAAAACCTCTTATATAAGTGGTGATTTTTACTTTTATGTAAGTTCGAGTGCCTATTTGATAGTTCTCCCTAAATTTTTTACTAATAGGAAATAAAAGATATTAATGTTAAAACTTAATTGTGTGTTGACGAAAGTGAAAAGTGGATCGTTGCAACTAAAAGAGAACAGAGGAAGTATAAAACACCAGAGCAATTATCTTAGAGTCAATTCCCTAAATAGGACTAAAAAGTGACAAAATTGCACAAATAGGACTACATTTTTTAAATTCCCTTAATAGGACTATTTATGTGTGTTTGGACAAATATACCCTTGTAACTTGTAAAATGTTTTAATTAATAATAAAATCATAAAAAAATTAATAAAAATCGAAAAAAATTCTAAAAATCGTAAAAAAATAATAGAAAATTAATAAAAAAATTATTTTTAAAAAAAAATTAAAAAAAAAGAAAAAAAAAGAAAATCATAAAATTAAAAAAAAAATTGCCACCCCTGCCACCCCCAGCACCACCAGCTCCCATCACCGGAGAAAAATATGCCAACATTTTAAATAATGCCATAATGATGGCATATTGAATGAAAATGTTGGCATATTGAAGAGTAATTATGCCATCTTTTTGGCATTTTCAGAAAAATATGGCATTTTTTTTTACCAAAAGTGGAAGAAATTTCACCAATCGGAGGTGGTGGTGCTGGGAGGCGGCGGGAGGCGGTGGGAAAGGTATCCATATTTTTTTTCATTTTTTTATGGGTTTTTACTATTTTTTATTATATTTTTAAAAAAATTTAAAAAATAAAAAATTAATTTTTGTTTTTATAAATGTTTATAAATTTTTTATAATTTTTTTACGTTTTTAAAATATTTTTTACGTTTTTTATGATTTTATTATGAATTAAAGCATTTCATTATGAATTAATACTCTTAGGGGTATTTAGGGTAGAAAATCAATGTTTAGTCCTATTTAGGGAATTTTAAAAGTAGTAGTCCTATTTGTGCTTTTTAGGAACTCATTAGTCCTATTTAGGACAATTTCCGATTATCTTAAGGGCAAAACTCAATATCTTAATTAACAACTAGAATTTTCCGTTGCGTTGCACCACTTTCATGGCCAAGCATCAGTGCATCATAGATCAGGACACATGATAATATTAAATGGAAACAAGCATGCATATATATAAGAAAATTTTAATTTATTGCTTCTCATCAATGTATATAATAGATACATTGCAATGCAATAAATATGATTCCTTTAATAAGAATAATACATAAGAGATTTTCTCAAATATGCACCATATATTGTTTCTCTCAAAATAAACCTAATTCGCTCTTAAAACAACTTTTTTAAATTGTTGAGAAAACATAAATTATCGTAGACTAATTTAGTTAACCGAAAATGACAAACTGGGATTTGACATAAACGTAATAAGTTACATTAGTCTATGTAGACTTGATAGATACGTAGTGTTTGATATATTGGCTTGAATTGCCTATCATTTTCAGAATGCACCCATTTAAACGTTGCCTGAAGCATTTGCTGATGAAGAGTGTATAGTGTTCCAGCAGTATACTGTATACACTAAGAAAGATCAGCTCGCCGGCGCAACAGATTCCTGCTCCAATGAAATACACGTAAGCACGGCTGTCACGTCCGAGCGCAAGCACTACCATTCCTATAAAGGAAAGAAAACTACATACATATACGGAGTATTAAAGTATATCACAAATGAAATAATTAACAACACAAAGTTCGTTTTATGCGTACAATATAATTGCCCTGACATAAAAATGACCAATTTTTCATCTAAATATGAATGAGTAAGCTAAATAACTTCAAAGCTGAGCTCTATAAATAATCAGATTAATTATTCTTTCAACACTAACCCAATATTCGGAACAATTTTTTACATATTTCAAAAAAATGATAGGAAAATTCTATGAAACCTACAAGAAAAGATTCGAGTATCTTTTCAAAAGAGTCGCCACGAAAATGTTGCACACTTAAAATCGGTACATTTTAGTGTAGCCAAAGCCTTTGGCGAATTCAGAAAAACTAAATCATAGTGTCTCTACCTTAATGTAACTATTAGCGTATTGATTATGGGCTTAGCCCACTGTAATTAATTTAATTTAATTGTATTTGTTAGTTTGGGCTAAGGGCTCTATTGTAGATAAATACTTGTATAAATATCCTCCCTAAGTGTGATCAATGAGATATGGGAATTTACCCTAACATATACACACGTCTCTAAATTTATCATGGTATCAGACTAAGGTCTTGGTTCACCGATCCTTTTTTTCTTCGTTCTTCCCTACCGGCACCAGCGTGTACGGTTTCTTTCTTTGGGCAGCTATGGCGGTGGACATTACTTCATCGTATTACCTTGGTTCGGGAGATCAACCGGGGAATCTTATCACTCATATCATCTTTAGGGGCGATAATTATGTCGCTTGGTCTCGGGCTATCTTATTGTCTCTCAAAGCTCGCCGGAAACATGTGTTTGTTGATGGCACTCTCACGAAACCCGCGGAGGAGGCACAGCGTTCCAACTGGGAAACGACTAACTCCATGGTTGTTTCATGGCTTCTTCGCAGCATGGAACCCACGGTTGTCGTCTCTATCCCGTTTCACGAAGAAGCCAGAGCTCTTTGGGTCTATCTTGAAAAGCGATACAGTGTTGCTAACGGTCCAAGGTTGCAGCAATTGAAGGCCTCAATTTCAGCTTGTAAACAGACCAAAACAATGACGGTAGATGCTTATTATACGGCTTTGATGAGTTTGTATGATGAACTCGACCGACTGAAGCCATTACCGGCCTGTTCGTGTGGAAGGTGTACCTGCGACGTTGTGGGCAAAATTGTTACCGAACGGGCAGAAGAACGGTTTCATCAATTCCTAATTGGAATTGATGATGAAATCTTTGGCACGGTGCGTTCCAATCTTCTCGCCCAGAATCCTTTGCCCGATATTGATCGTGCGCTACAGGCTTTTCAACAAGAAGAGAACTCGAGGGCCATTGCACGAGGAAAACAGTCCGTTGCTGAGGTTCATGCCTTCGCCCTTCAGCCTGATCGAGCTCCAAAGGGTCGCCAGGACAAAGACAAAACTGAACGTCCGCGGCCAGTTTGCACTCACTGCAGGAAAAAGGGGCATGAGATCGATTCATGCTTCAAATTACACGGTTATCCAGACTGGTGGGAGGAGAAACACCGCCCCAAAGGAGCTTCGGGTTCTTCTGCTAACCGCGGTGGGGCAGTTAGGACCCATGCAATGAACTCGAACCTCCAGTCAGCCGGGGAAGGGGCTTCTTCCTCCCAGAATTTAGGTGTTCCTGTACTGCCTCCATTGACTACTGAACAGGTGCAAGCCATATTGAGTGTCCTTAATATGGATTCTCGCTCTTCTGACCGGATGTCTGGTAAGTACTCTTGTGTAGAGTGGATTATTGATACAGGGGCCTCTCAACATGTTACTGGCGACGTGACATGTCTTATTGATCCCGGACCTATTCCTGTTTGTCCGGTTGGTCTTCCAGACGGGCGCACTGTGAGTGCGGTTTTATCTGGTCGAGTATCATTATCTAGGGAGTTACATCTGGATCATGTTCTTTATGTGCCTGGACTGAATTGTCATCTAATTTCGGTTTCACAATTCACAGATCAGTCTCATTGTCTTGTCACATTTACTAATCAATTTTGTGCTATACAGGACCTACGCTCGAGGAACCTGATTGGAGCAGGTGAAAGGCGGGATGGGCTATTTTATTTTAGAGGGGTGCCGACTTTGCATGCTGTCCAGACATCTACACTTTCGTCATTTGAGCTGTGGCATCGTAGAATGGGTCATCCTTCTGATCGGGTCCTCAAATTGTTACCTACTTTTGTTTCTAGTTCTCTTTCGAAAACTTTGAATAAGGCGTGTGATGTGTGTCCACAAGCCAAACAAGTGCGTGATTCCTTTCCTGTCAGTAATAATAAATCGAGTAGAATTTTTGAACTTATTCATTGTGACTTGTGGGGCCCATATAAGACTCCATCAACCTGTGATGCTGTGTATTTTCTTACTTTAGTGGATGACTTTTCTCGTGCCGTTTGGGTGTATTTGTTACGTGATAAAAAGGAGGTTCACCATTATTTTCTCTCATTTATTGCTATGGTTGAAAAACAACACAATGTTTCCATCAAAATTGTCCGTAGCGATAATGGGACTGAATTTAATTGCATGCACCCTTATTTTGATACTCACGGCATTCTGTTCCAAACATCTTGTGTTCATACACCCCAACAAAATGGGAGAGTTGAACGCAAACACAGACATATCTTAAATGTTGCTCGTGCCTTGATGTTTCAAGCAAATTTGCCTGTTACTTTATGGGGTGAGTGTGTTCTTACTGCCGTGCATTTAATTAATCGTACACCTTCTGGGCTTTTGGGAGGAAAGACACCTTATGAGCTTTTGCATGGCGTTTCCCCCGATTTTTCTCATATACGCGTGTTTGGCTGTCTCTGTTATGCTCATAATATTTATTCCCGTGGCGATAAGTTCTCCCCACGAAGTCGTCGCGGTGTATTTGTTGGTTATCCCACCGGTAAAAAGGGGTGGAAAATATATGATTGGGCAACCGGAGAAATATTTGTGTACCGGGATGTAATATATCATGAGGACGAATTTCCTTTTTCGGCTATTCCTCCTGAAAATGCTGAAGCCTCACTGCCAGATGTGGATCCGAGTCCTCCTTTACTTGATAATGAGTCCGAAGCTATCATCCCAGTCTCAGCTGAAGCTGCTGCCGCGGACCATACACATGCAGCTACCGAGGAAGATCATTCTGCCGATGCACCCCTCGGTCGTGGATTACGTTCTCGGCGTCCGTCCGTTCGGCTATGGGACTTTGTCACAAATCATGTACAGCATTTAAGCCCATCCCCGCCCCACACCTCTTCCATCAGCTCCTCAGGTATGTCGTATCCTATAGCTAATTTTCTAAAATGTGACAAGTACTCTCCTCGTTATCGGTCTTTTCTTGGAGCTATACTTGCAGGCCATGAACCACGATCTTTTAAGGAAGCTATGCAAAGTGAGAGCTGGCGTGATGCTATGCAAAGTGAAATTCGGGCATTGGAAAATAATCAGACTTGGGTGATGGAACCGCTTCCGCCAGGTAAAATGGCTCTTGGTTGCAAATGGGTGTACAAAATTAAGTACAACTCAGATGGAACCGTTGAGCGTTTTAAAGCTCGTCTTATCGTGTTTGGCAACCACCAACAAGAAGGCATAGACTATACCGAAACATTTGCTCCTGTTGCTAAAATGGTCACCGTCCGCCTGTTTTTAGCTGTAGCTGCCGCTAAAAATTGGGAATTGCATCAGATGGATGTTCATAATGCATTTCTTCACGGGGACTTGGATGAGGTGGTTTATATGAAACCGCCTCCTGGGTTCTGTTCCTCTCGGCCTGGGCAGGTTTGTCGACTAAAGAAGTCATTATATGGTCTTCGTCAGGCCCCGCGATGCTGGTTTGCAAAATTATCTGCTTCGCTGAAGCAGTATGGTTTTCAGCAGTCATATTCTGATTATTCTCTTTTTACACTGACACAGGGCTCGGCTCAATTATTTATTCTCATTTATGTTGATGATTTAATTATTGTGGGCAATGATAGCAGTGCTATTGCTCGATTTAAATCTTATCTGCATAATTGTTTTCATATGAAAGACCTTGGATTTCTGAAGTATTTTCTTGGGATTGAGGTGGCTCGTAGTGCTGATGGCATCTTCCTTTGCCAGCGAAAATATACTCTGGACATTATCTCGGAGACTGGACTGCTTGGGGCTAAACCCACGCATTTTCCTATTGAACAGAACCATAACTTGGCTATTTCTCAGAGTGATTTTCTGGCTGATCCGGAGGCCTACCGACGTCTAGTTGGGCGACTTCTATACCTATCTTTTACTAGGCCTGATCTTGCCTATGCTGTTCATATTTTATCTCAATTTATGCAGGCTCCTAGACAGGATCATTGGACAGCGGCCTTACGGGTTGTTCGCTATCTCAAAGGAACTCCTGGACAAGGCATTCTTCTCAGTTCTACGTGTGACTTAACTCTTACAGGTTGGTGTGACTCCGACTAGGCTAGCTGTCCACTTACTCGTAGGTCTCTTACTGGATGGATTGTTTTTTTTTTGGGTACTTCACCTATCTCGTGGAAGACAAAGAAGCAACATACTGTATCTCGGTCTTCCACCGAGGCAGAATACCGATCCATGGCTGCTACCACCGCTGAACTTAAATGGGCTAAGGGGCTTCTTCTTAGTCTGGGTATTGATCATCCACGCTCTATGACTCTATACTGTGACAACAACTCGGCTCTTCACATTGCTCATAACCTTGTTTTTCATGAGCGTACCAAGCACATTGAGGTTGATTGTCATTATGTTCGTGATGCTATTCAAGCGGGATTGCTCGTTGCTCGTCATGTCTCTACCACTGATCAATTATCAGACATCTTCACTAAGGCATTGGGCAAGCGTCAGTTTCTTTATCTTCTTCGCAAGTTGGGCATTTTTGAACCTCATGCTCCAACTTGAGGGGGGGTATTAGCGTATTGATTATGGGCTTAGCCCACTGTAATTAATTTAATTTAATTGTATTTGTTAGTTTGGGCTAAGGGCTCTATTGTAGATAAATACTTGTATAAATATCCTCCCTAAGTGTGATCAATGAGATATGGGAATTTACCCTAACATATACACACGTCTCTAAATTTATCAGTAACTCTAATTAATATAAATTAAAAAATACTCCCTCCAATTTTTAATAAACTTCATACTTTCCTTTTTGGGACGGTCTAAAATAAACTTCACACTTCCTTATTTCCTTTTTTGGCAAAGAAATCTACATCAGAACAGTGTCAAACAGTGCCAAATAGTGTCTCAACAGTGCCAAACAGTGTCTCTACAGTGCCAAACAGTGTCTCAACAGTGTACTCTACAGTAAAGTCAAATTTCTTTCCTTATTTTGTGTGAAGTCAAAGTGTGAAGATTAAATAAAACCGGAGAGAGTAGTAAATTATTAAAGCAACATAAAATTTCATAGTTAACGTACATTAAAATATTAAAATAATCATAAAGCCCAAAATATTAAGGTAGCTACGCGGTGCGTCTTGAACATTAAGATGAAAATTCTTAGTGTAGCCAAAGGTCAAGGGATGTGTAGGATCGTATTACATTAGAATTAGTGTCGTGTGTCATGTAATTAGTGGCATGTAAAATCACAATTTTAGAATGTTTAAAAATTAGTCTCATTCTTTTAGCATATATATTAACTTAATTAGTAATATAGCAATTATATACGATAGTATTATATAAATTTCATACACGTGCATATACATAAGATGAAATCCTTTTGATCAGATAAAATGTTAAAATCCCTTGGCTTTTTCCGAAATATACTTCCTCCGTTCTTTTTTAATTGTAACAGTCCACTTTTCACGTTTGCCAATGCACAAGTTTGATCGTAAATATCTTTCATTCCTTATTAGAAAAAAATTAAAAAATCAGTTTTTGAAAATTTATTATACGAGGAATTTATAAATATTTTTAAAAAATTTAATTCGAAACACATTATTAAGTAAAATGTAGTCAAAATAGAATCCGTGAATAGTGAAAAAAGTCCTACGTTACAATTAAAAGAGAACGGAGGTAGTATAACGAAAGTTACATACAAATATACTTTTAACCTGAAATCTCAACCCCGTTGCTTCCTGCGCCCTTTAATGAACTTCATACTATAAATATACTACGTATACTAGTATCACATTTTAAGGATTTTCTATTCTTTGACTTTTCGAAATGCACTTTCTGATTATAAATATTACTGTAGCCTGCTTTAACGCCATAGGACATTGTACTATCATTATTATTTAAGAATAGTTTATTAAATTGGTAACCCTAATCGTAATGAGGGAAAGACTTTATTTATCTATATACAAATACAAGTAGAATTTTTGTCCATTTTCCCGCTCAAAAGAGTCCCATCAAATGCAAGCAAAGGTAGGCTAGCTAAACCATATACAATTATGGCAGTGTTTTGGTTTGCTTTTGAAAAGCACTTTTGACTTTTTTAGAAAAAAAATCTATTTGGAGTGTTTGCATAAGGGAGCTTTAGCTTTTAAAAAAGTGATTTTGGATTATAAGCTGGAAGTTGCTCCCAGCATGCTTTTATCTGCTTTTTTTGGTTTTATGGTAATTAAAGCCAACATTAAGGATAGTTATACCATTCCATTTCCCCCTATACCCAACTTTACCCTTATCAATCATCCCGATATCTCTGTCCCAGACTCGCAGCCTCCCTACTCGCAGCCTCCCTCCATATCTCTTTCTTCTCCATCTCTGTGTCGCACATCCGCATCGAAAAGTTGAGTCGTGAACGCTGCTCTAGCTAATTAAAGATCAGCTCCCTTTCCCCATCGAAACGTTGTTTCGCACATCCCCATAAAAAAGAGAGCGATGATGTCTGTATTGCAAAACTCCATGCTTATATGGCTTTATAAATAAAGAACCCACGTAGATTTTCCCTTCCTAATTGTCACTAACCTATTTAAAAGAGGTATTGCAAATAATCTTGGAGATTTTGATTTTTTACTTTGAATTTGGAAAATTAGCTTGGAGGAGAAGTGGAGAACCGTGTATCTGAGAAAGCTATGTCGCAGGGGAGAGTGAGCTGATTAATGAAGGGAGGATATTTTTGTACATTCCCAAAAATATAATATCACAATCACTTTTTTCCCAAACATTCCAACTTTAACTTTTTCACTTTAATCACTTCTATTCTAAAACACTCTCAACTTTTATCAATAATCACTTTTTCAAAAATCACTTTACAAAATCACTTTTTTACAAGTTAAGCAATAGTAAACATAGCCTATGAAGCTGTTCTCTTCGCCTGATCTGAATGTTTCTGATCTGAATTTTTTAAGTTCTGATCTGATCTGATCTGAATTTTTCTGATCTGATCTGATCTGATCTGAATCTTTCTGATCTGATCTGATCTGATCTGAATCTTTCTGATCTGATCTGATCTGATCTGAATCTTTCTGATCTGATCTGAATGTTTCTGATCTGGTCTGATCTGATCTGAATGTTTCTGATCTGATATGAATCCTTCTGATCTGATCTGAATCTTTCTGATCTGATCTGATTTTAATATTTCTATGATTATAATTATAATTATAATTATTATAATTGCAATTACAAATATAATTTAAATAAAATTATAATTATAATCGTAACTATAATAATAATAATAATAATTAAAATTAAATTTAAAATGAAAAAATTTATACTTATTACACTAATTATAAATATAGATATAATTATAATTGTAATTATATTTTTAATTATAATTACTTATATAATTATAATTGTAATTATAATTACAATATTTATCTCTATAATTGTAACTATAGTTATCAATATTATTATAATTACTCCGTAAAATAATTAAAATAGTAATAATAATAATAATAATTGTAATCATAAATTATAATTATAAGTATAATTATAATTATTATAATTATAATTAATAATAATTATAATTATATTAACATTAATTATAATATTATAATATAATAATAGTAATATAAATACAATTAATATTATAATAATGATATTATTATATTCATATTATTATTACAATAATATAATAATAATAATAATATGATTATTATTATTATAATTAGTATTATATTATTATAATATTATATTATAATTATAATTATAATCATAATTATAATTATGGTTGTAATTATAATTATAATTATTATAATTATAATTAATTACAATTATAATTATAAATATTTATAGATATAATTATAATAAATACAATTGATTATACTTATAATTATAAGAATTATAATTGTAATTATAATTATAATTACATATAATTATAATATAATATTATATTAACATTAATCATATTATTATTATTATTATATTGTAATAATAATGATGATGATGATGATGATGATGATGATGATGATGATGATGATGATGATGATGATGATGATGATGATGATGATGATGATGATGATGATGATGATGATGATGATGATGATGATGATGATGATGATGATGATGATGATGATGATGATGATGATGATGATGATGATGATGATGATGATGATGATGATGATGATGATGATGATGATGATGATGATGATGATGATGATGATGATGATGATGATGATGATGATGATGATGATGATGATGATGATGATGATGATGATGATGATGATGATGATGATGATGATGATGATGATGATGATGATGATGATGATGATGATGATGATGATGATGATGATGATGATGATGATGATGATGATGATGATGATGATGATGATGATGATGATGATGATGATGATGATGATGATGATGATGATGATAATAATAATAATAATAATAATAATAATAATAATAATAATAATAATAATAATAATAATAATAATAATAATAATAATAATAATTGTAATTGTAATTGTAATAACAATATTAATAATAATAATAATAATAATAATTAATATAATAATAAAAGTGATAAATCATGTTTGAACTTTTCTGATCTGATCTGATCTGAATGTTTCTGATCTGGTCTGATCTGATCTGATCTAAATCTTTCTGATCTGATCTGATCTGATCTGATCTGATCTGAATCTTTCTGATCTGATCTGATCTGATCTGAATTTTTCTGATCTGATCTGATCTGATCTGAATTTTTCTGATCTGATCTGATTTGATCTGATCTGAATAAAATAAGAATAAGCAATAAGTAATAAGAATAAGACGAACAGAACAGCACCTATGTGTGGGTTAAGGGTGTGTTCAATTCTGTGTCCAATAATCAAAGTAATAAGGCTATGCTACGAGCCTACGAGAGTAATGTACTGTGGCATTGGAATTCAACAAACTTTATTCACTCGGATTGAAACTTGTTTACTTTTAGTAGTTTCTTAAATATGGAATATAAAACCAAACTAATGTATGTAGTATGTTGCATTGTCTCAGATTATGAATAGTAATTGCCTCAAATTGTAATTGTATGCCATGATGATAATATAAATGGGGTTAGATCATCAATATTACTAATTAAAAGAGTTTTGACAAATATTAGGCCTGGGACCGGTTCGGTTCCTAGGCCAAATATGTGGAACCGTTTGAAAATATGAAATTTTACTAACGGTTCGGTTCTTATAAATTATTTTATAGAACCGATAAGGAACCGAACCGTTCATAACGGTTCGGTTCTTGTCATTTAACGGTTCGTAGTCTTCGAAAAAATTCTTACAAATCATGACTAAATTTTTACCAAAAAGACATTCTACGTTTGAAATTACGATACAAATATGCTTAAACAGTTAAAGAGAATAATAATTTTAAATACTTGGACCCTCAAAGTTCCGACCCACTGGAGTTTGGACCTAATGAGAGGCCTAAGAAGCCTAAGAGAACCGGTTGAAGTGAATAATAATTTT